GTTAATAAAGTATTATATAGTAAATTAATAAATACAAAATCAAACCAAATATATAATACAAGACTCTATGAATAGTATTATAATCATGTACGAATAAAAGCCCCAGTGCTATTTCCATAGTAGTATATAGTTTATCAGTCCATTATAATCTTGTAAAATTGGCTTTAAGCATTCTCATAAAGTTCCCTTATCAGCATATTGTGCCATAATGACCGTTTCTACATATATATTCGATTTGGTAAATGGTTTGCTTAAGAGTGAAAATGGTTGAACCTTGCTATGGATGACAAACACATAAGGACGAAATAAGAACATCTGAATCTATGGATGAAAATGACAAGTAAACACATAAAAACAAAATAAGAACGTCTGAATGACTTTGAAATTTACCAATAGTAATTTAAATAAACGATACATATTATGTTATCAGAATGACATGTACACCATCAAGGATAAAAGGACAGTGTTTGCGTGGTGTTTAAAAAAAAAATTCTGAATGTTATAACAATAGAATTGCCGCTAATTGTGATGAACGTAAGACATTCACGTATTATCAAAGATCAGCAGAAACGGGATTTGGAAGATCTTGGGCTCGTTGGAATCGTTTTATCGAGATGATCGTTTTGGTGGCAAAATTAACCAAATTAGATCACTGGATCAAGTTATTTGTTGTTAAAGATAGTGACCGTCGAAAAATTCCGCCTATAATTTTGTTTACCTGCGCAGCTGCTCATCCCTAATCGTAACTGGAGTCCAAAAGGCATTCGATCTGGTCACTAATATGGATAATACTAATAAACATATATGGGTTGTCATTGCTGCAAGAAGGGAAACACGTAAAAAGAGCTTCCAATTATTGTCAAAATCTTAGGAGATATGTACATAAGTACAATGTTAAATTTATCTAACAAAAAAATGGTTAAAAAACATTGAATCAAATTTTGAACCAATCTGAAGAATGATTATTAATGATTGAGAAGATTTGAAAATGCAAAAGAAAATATGAAGGTCAAATCACATTTTATTGAGAATAATAAAAAGTTGTGCAAATAATTATTAAATTGTGCATATTTAAAGGATTACAATCGAAAGAATTGATATGAGAATACAGTATAAATTGTTACGGCCTATATAATAACCAGTTACGGCTTAAACCATAATAGTTTCTACAGCATCTTTAATTAATATAATTATTCACTAATATCAACCGAAGCGAAAGAAATATATAAACTTCTATTTTTGAATATAGAACTCTGTCCGGAAAAAATTTAAACTCAGTTGCGTAACTTTCATTTACAGTAGGAGTTACTAGCTAGGGAGATTAGTTTACCGAAAGAGCATAATCTCGATTAGATTATATCTAACTCTAGCATTGTCTTGATTATGTTCTTTTGGGGAAATAGTCTGAATTACAATACATATTTTTTTTAGCTTTGCATTGCATAACGCAGCATAATGCAGCATGCGACATTATGCAATCATGGTGTTCTACAAAAAATCAAGAAGCAAGATTCATACCCAATCTTTCTTATCTTTAGACAGAAGTTTACTATTTTCAAACCTCATATTAGTTAGCCTGCTTTATACAGGTAGGAAATTACTAACTTATGCTACATATCACTTAGTATTACATATGATATAAAATATAATATTTTATTAATTTTTGTTGCATTAAAATTATATAGTAATTTCTATGTGCACTTTTAAATTTTAAAATATCTACATTACATTATGTGACATTATGTTTTGCATAATGTAATGCACATAATGCAAAATGCCCATCTCTATTCCTGTTCCATAAAACGCAGTAATTATTACTACTACAGTAAATACGTATGTTGAATCATCACGAACTTTTTTCTACAAAATTGCTAAGTAAAAAACTACATAGATTTATATGACTTTACATAATTTTTCTCGAATATTTTATTCATTCTACGGACCTTCGGTAATACTACACAAAAGGCAACCTAATTTTATATAAATTGTTAAGTAACATTACAATTACATAAATTGATATCAAACAATTACATAGCATTATTATCATCTATGTTATATCACGTAAATATATGGTCCTTCAAAGTTCGTGATGATAATTAATGTCACGGATCATGGTGAAATCGGATCATCGTGAAATTTGAATCTATTTTATCTACGATTTTTAAAATTTTTTGGGGCTTTTTTGTCAGCGTTTTTTTTTATAGTTAAGTTAGGATTTAGGGTTAGAGTTATTAGTAAAAGAGTATAGGTGGATTTTGGTAGGGCTTATATTTCCAAATTGAGACCCAAATTTCATGATGATCCGATTCCACCATGATCCGTAACAATTAATAACCGGTAACGATTAGAGTTTGAACCGGTTTTATTTTTCCAATGGCAAAATGATTAAAAACGGGTTCAATATAAGAAAAATAAAACCGGTTCTGAACTCAAGTAAAGATAATGTCATAAAGTTATATTATTGCGCCCTTGATTATTGACAAACATTTCTAATTAGATACATTTAATTGTCATGGAATTATCAATTGTTCAAGTTCAGAATGAGATAATGACATGATGTTAGGAGCGTTAAATTTCAGTCCTGCCTGCCTGACTTGACTCCAAAAGCCTACTCAGACTCGAATAAGAGGCCGTGATAAAAACAATGAAATATACGTATATTAATTTTAATACAATGCGAGGCATGTACGTACGTAAGTACATACGAACGCATATACATAAATTTCTTGTTTTGGTAAATCCGTTACTGTATATATCTTAGACTTCGACCGATTCCGAACGTAGACTCTGTAAGCCTTTTAACCTTAATTACTTTTATTGTACACTTCTTATGTCATTTTCATACATCTTATTGGTCATTTCTAATGCATGATACACGAACTTTGCTCACTTCCTATCGGAGTGAACAAAATTTGTGTATCACGTTCAGGAATGACCCAATAAGGTGCAGAAAATGAGCTAGGTATTACGCCAGAAATGTACAACAATCATGTTATTGGATTATGTTATTAATGATAATCGCTAATTTTTATTCACATCGGAAACAGTGGCCTTTGGTCACCTTTACATCTCTGCATTTTAGTTCAAATCAGCTGATCGGCTCTATTGATTAATCGGTTTTATTATACTGAATATACAAGCTGATTGAGCCGTTTTGCATAACAGGAGGAAACGTTGATACGTCACAAAATCGTTACACAATTGATAAAAATTTTTTTTATATTATTTTACAATACTTTTTTGGAAGGCTCGTTTGACTTATCTTTTCTATGAATATTGAAAATAATTAAACAAACATGAAGCTCTCACTTTGCTTTACAACATATTTTTTGAATCCCCTTGAATCCCATGGTTTCGTCTTTTTGTAAATTTCGCAATTTGATTGGTTGACTGATATTTTGACTGGTCAATACAATGAGTGATCTGTGTAACGGAGAATGAAATCATATCTATATTTGGACGTTTCCTCCTGTTGTTTTGCATCACTAGCTCTACCGCTACGTAGTGAATAATCAATTATCATCAGCAACATGACCAATAACAAGTACAAATAGTAATTTATGTGTAGAAGTACGTACATACGGGTTATCACACTCTATATATGTTAAGTCGTTCTGTGATCCTGTTCAGAGTATAGATGTAACCCAAATTATTTGGGACGTCCCAAGCTATATGATAATCAGTATAGCATTAGTTTCGGCTGTTTTTTTTTTCCTATTGCCGAAACTATTTTATATACTAATTATGGTTACATCACTAGTTCAGAGGAAGTTCAGTCCTAATCTCTGAAAACTACTGCGTTCTGGTCTAAACTAATAATTCGTAACTGATCTAATAATATATATTATGGCGGCTTATGCTGAAATTTGGGTCTCTATTTAAACCTATAATATCTGCTAAAATCCACATATACTTGTTTATTAATAACACTACCCCCAAAACCCTAACCTAAACATAAAAAAAAAAGACCACAAAAAAGGCCCAACATTTTGTAATTTTATAATAAAATACGGAAAATTTTCGGCATAAGCTGCCACATATATTAATAAATTACATCGTATGCTTCGAATAGAATCAATCCTTCAGATTTTTAAACCCGAATATTTGATAGAAATGAGCAATACCTTCACTTTTAGCCTGAAAAATTCTCCCTCTCTCTCTTTTCTCTTTTTTTTTTTTTTTTTTGCAGCATTTTTAATTGCTTCTATTTGATAACCAATAAAACTCGGATCCTATCATTTTCCCGACAACCACTTTCCCGACAATGTCAAAATCCCGACAAGTTAGCCCGCATTAGGTTAGGGTTAGTGTTAATTCCTGTCAATTTTTGTCGGGATTTTGTTTGTCGGGAAAGTGTTGCCGGGAAAATGGTAGATACCCAATAAAACTAATAATATGAACTTGAACCTATCAGTTTTTTAACTAGAACTAGACCAAACGAATTATTCAACACCTTCCCTAAATCGGTTTTTTTAACTTTGGTTTAGATGTACGTACAACCAATTTGTTTAAACACGTACGTACGAATGTGCATACGAATGTACATACTGCGAACATTTACTTAGAAAAAAAAAACCTAGCCCCAAACTTTAATTACTATTATTTTTTTTAAATACCGTATTTACTTTTTTTAACACATAAATATACATTTTTAAAAGTTGAATACGTATTGCATTAATTAAACCACAGTTTTGGATATTTTAAAAATACAGTGTAACTTGTAAAGAAAAAAGATTAATAATAAGAATTATGCCATTTATAACGTAATATTTTTTTTTAGTTAAGAACTTTACCTACGTAATCATATATCCATGTATGGGTATGAATAATAAGTATTATATAAGATGTAGTAGCCAGCTGACAATATATCAATGATAAAACCAAAAAGGTTTACGTAATATGTAACAGGTAAATGGTTTATTATGCCTCCTTAACCCTAACCTTATATATTGCAAGATATCCCACGGGATTGATATTACGTAATATGTATCCCAAGTGAATTAACTAATTTGACCTTTCCTAGCGAAAAACCTATACAATTCTAATATAGTTTTATTCTCATTTGATTCTTTTTCAAAATTATCCAATAATTCATTATATTGTTCTTTGGAAATTTTCATTAGATCCTGCATAAATACAAAATCTTCAAAGATTTTTCGTACGCTTTTTAACATCTGTATTAAGAAGAAAAATTAGAAAATAAGAAGATTTTTTTTAAGGAAGGAAGTACAAGGTAATTTAAATTAATTACTTACAACAAAACCAAGGTAACCACTCCAATCACCTAATGGAGCATCTACTCTACTGTAACCAAAATCAGTCAATTCTTCGTTTTCTTCAATAAATTTTGGTAATATATTTACAATATCAGGATCGACTCCTTTTTCTCTAAAAGCTGTTGCTGCTGCTGTCAATAAAATCAATAAAACAAAAAGTTATTAAACCAATAAAACAAAAAGTTATTAAACCAATAAAAATTAAAGATACTTGTCAATTGTTAACCCAAAAAAAAAAGATACTAACATAATTTATAAAACTCTTTGAAAATTTTTCCTCCATTTTTAAAATCTGGATTACCTTCTACTATTTCAATCCAACCACCATATTTAAGAACTCTAACAATTTCTTTAAT